GGCTCTTTCTGCCTCTATGCTAGTTGGTTTCAGGGTCATCAAATAATCATAAATTTGTCAGAACGTGAGGGACTCAAAAGTTTTTACCTTTGACTCCCTCACGTTCATAAACAGCAATTTCCTTTTATAATAACCTATCATAATCCTTCTCAGTACTAGTTTCTTTTCGTTTCATGAAGTTTTCTTTCTCACGCTTTAGTTGGATCTCCGATTCTTGTTCCAATGTGAAATTCAGCAAATGAATGCGGGTTATCTGGATCATCGTTTTCCGTTTCCGTAATATCCTCAGCCATTTCTGCTGATTCCACTACATATGTATTTACTCGATTCAGCATATTTTTCATCTCCTGGCGCATTACATTTTTTTCAGTATTGTGAAAAAATAATCGTGCTTTCTAACTTTTTGGTTATACTTCTTGGGGTTCTGTATGTAAATCCCTGTGACCTCGATAAGACGCCGTTCTCTGATTTTTTTGCAGGGTGGCTCGGAAAAATCGGCACTCAAAATTGTGTCTGGATTTTTAGTTTGTGTAAGATAAATTTCAAGGTTGTGTCAGCAGGTATCAAACTCGACTCTCTTCTACAGAGAGCTTTTACGGCCAGTTTATAGGTTAGGTTTCGTGGACAAGGCGCGAGACTGCAGCTCTCCATAGGCTTAATTAATAAACTGAGATCGTTCCGTCACGTGATTCATTGACGTCACTACCGACCGTAAATTAGAATTATGCACCAGGACTAGGAGAGGAGTTACTTATTTTATTTAGCGCGAAAACACTTTATTTAGCGAGAGTGGAAAGTCAACTGGCAATTAGATCAGCAGAGGTGAAAAGGCAGACAGTGCGGTGTAGAGAGGGGGTGTAGCATGTGACACACTGAATGGCAACGTCACCCTCGCCGCCGAGCGATAGCACATGTAGAAACGCGGCAACACCGATAACGTAGACTTTTGCGCCATTATTTAGAAAGTTAATTGAGTATTTGCGGATTTGCAGCGCTGGATCCAGCACCTGATGCTGGATCCAGCAGGTCGAAGAATGCGCTGGATCCAGCTGGATTGCTGGATGAGGGATCCAGCAATTGCAATCCCTAAACACCATGTATGCACCATATAATTAGAATTGCAGCAGGACATTTATGATCACTGCTGCTATCAGTAAGCCATGCATACAATAGACACCATGTAAAAATTTGAGCGATCCCAGGGCAGCTGTTATAGTGACAGCGGACCAATAGAGAGCAGGGTGCGCGATCCTTGCCATAATGCGATTTGCGTGCCAATTTTCGTACGTACGTTAATCAAGCCAAATAGTTTGGCCAAATATACTATTCATTGCATCACTAATAATTATATAAAGCTAATGTCACATAATTATAAGAGTACGAATTTTCATTTTCTTGCTACTGGCAATACTAATTAATTGTTTAGTGCTACATGATCATGGAAGGATGAATTTCTGTAAATTGCAATCTTTAAAATGAGCTTTGCAATTTTAATAGCCAACCTTCTTCCAAAATATTTTATACTTTGAAACAATGACTTTACAGATCTTTAAATTGGAAGTGATGATTTCTGTTTGTTGATAGAAAGTTAGATTTTAGGGATTTGCTAGAACATACTTTTAGTATGCTGTTATGACCATAGGGTCGGTGTCTCTCTGACATAGCGTCAGGATGTGACATCACCGAGTCTCGCAGGACTCGAAAATCGCGACTTTACGTCACGCAAGCGGTTGGATTCAAAGTAGAGGTGAGGAGAGAGACTAGGAAGTGATTCACTCGGAACTCCGGTAAACTAACAAGAACAATTTTAATTATAACAAAAGAGAATACAGATATACTGCCGATATCAAACATGACTAAAGTTCCCATTGATTATTACTAGCCCGTTCGAGAGAGAGAGTTTACAAACGACTCGTGTGTTCATAAATAACTTGTTAAGAGACGCGGTGTAGCAATCATGGATTCTTGCACTTGGAAGGTGATTATTTAATGTCCTGGATGTAATAACACAGAGGAGTGAAACGGATGATTAAAACAGTCCACAAATGAATATCCAATGGCTTCCCGGTTGGGTAATGTTCAGAAGTAGGATTCAGGGACAAGTTCTTTTACATTCCCAGTTGAACGACTAGAAGACGACTGCTTGGATTCTCATCACTCTCCCTAGTTATTGGGTATTTTCCTTCTGGGGTTTTTCCCAGAAGGAAAATACCCAATAACCAGGAGTTTGTTGCCAATGGCCTGGTGTCCAATACTGGAAATTTATCGAAAGTTCCGGGTGACACATTAATAACTAGATGGATCAGCCTCAACAAGGAAGCAAGTCCGTGGGAAACAATTTTTATGATAGCTCTTGAAAAAAATCGAAGTCAAATGACGAAATTGTAAAATGACCAAAGGTCAAGCTAATATTTTCATCCCTTCGTCTGTCACACTGTCAACCAACATTGCAGTTGTTCCAGGGCACCGCCCTGTATTTTTAAAAGTAGGGCAAAACCCTTGTACTTTTTGAACATCTAAGTTGGACTTTAGACTATGTACTGGTACCTCAGCCAAAAAAAACACACCGAGAAAATTATTTCTTGCAGTTTTTTGCACTGATTACGATTATATAGAACATTTAAGCCTTTTACAGATATTGAGCATGCATTTTGCGCACACATACTCTATAGACTGTTTCGCCTCCATGTAGTGGCAATTCAAACTTGGGGTGCCAAGGCACTAATAGTGACGTTTAATTAAGTGAGCCCTGCACCTGCATCATACCAGCAATCTAGGGTCCCCAGATATGTCACCACATGGTAAATTTTGACATTCTTACTACACTAATGAGTTAAGATTGGTTTGGGGGCCCAGGCAATTGCCTTTTTTGCCCATAAGATAATGTGGCACTGAGAATATGTACAGTACGAATTTGGTTTTCAAAAGTATGCATTTATTCTTAGAGGTGATGATTATGAATATTCTTAGACATAATTGAAAAAGTGTTAAGTATGTTTATTTTATTTCTTAAGCTATAAAAATAGGTTTTAAAAGAAAAGCACTAGAAAACTATTTTTCTAGGTCAAAAAAAGTATTTGTGAATGAGAAAGCAGTAATCCAGACAGTTTAAAATCACAAGTTTGTTTGTTTGTTTAAGTTATGGCAATGCAACACTTGGGCAATCTGCCTAGGGGGATGCCTTCCGGGAGGTCTTTTTTAAGTTCCCCTATTTAGGCGTTACAGACATAGAGAAAACACGGAAAACTCCACGTGGTCAGCCCGTCTGAGTGAGGCATGAGATCCACAACCAAACTCCCAGTGTTCAGAGAACAAAGATCGCTTGGCTACTGGTGGGCCCAACAACAAACTTTTTATACAGTGAATTATACAATTGAATTGCTCAAAAATTTTTTCTCCATTAAAAATGTGCTTGGGAATATTTCAACCTTAAACATGTTTGACTTTACATCAGATAGCTCTAGATTTCAAGATATTTGATTAATATGTTCCTTACTAGTTTATTTGAAGATTTTTTTTTAAAATGTAAATTATTGAAATCAATAAAATTCATACTTTCATAACTGTTTATTAATTTATCCTTCCTATCAAAATCAGTACTTGTCCACACCAAAAAATTATGTATTATTAATTATCAATCAAATTACTTCATTACGATAATGACTTTCTACCCAATTCTCTGAATTAGGAATTGCAAAATTTGGGATAATCAGAATGCTGTAATTACATTTTCTTCTAAAATTTGTGATGGATATAGTAAAATCTTCTAAGGTTTTGCTGTTTGCAGAGCAGAGAGAAAAAATACATATTGCAAATTTTATCCATTTCAATCCCAGACACGTTTGACACTCAATCCTCATCACTTGACTGGATCAAGTAGAAAGGAACAAGACTAGACATATTCAGGTAATGTGCTGACCTAGGACTCAAATTCAAGTCTTCTAATGTGCCTTCACTGTTTCATCATCCAGCAATCATTGATTTTAAATGGACTCTCTACTATTATATAAGCATTCTGATTTGAGAGTAAAAGAAAATCATGATTGTTTAAGTGGCAACTTACCAAGTCAAATATCTAAATAAACTTTCTTAAGGAAAAGAATGGTGATTGAACAACTGATTACATCAATAATTAAACAATACCAGCATAATTTATTCAAAAATAAATATCTTTGACAGTTTGCACCTGAAGATGACTGAGCAGAGTTGAAAACATTTGTTTTTAAATAATTTATGATGGTATGATTTATCTCTAAACTTTTTCATGTTAAAAACAACATACATCAAAACTTACAAATATTCAAAATACATGTGTTAAAAATATTTGTAATTTACACTTGAATGTTAATTACTTTTGTTTCTTACTTAAGGAGCATTTGTTTTGTTCAATTAATATATTGTAAAATTAATTACATCAATTTGGTATCATTCTTAGTTTTATGAGTGTGATGTTGAGTTTGATGTAAAACTGCACGCTATTTACACAAAACAAATGCACCTTTGTTTAATCAAAATTATAAACATCAAGTCTTTAAAAAAATGTTACTATTGTATCTAATTTATGGCTTTATTGTAGTAACACAGCAAGTAGTAAATGAAGATACACAAAGTTGCATAATTTAGAGAGCAATGTTTACAATTGCTTACATGGAAAAGGATCAAAACAATGAATTCCATTTAATAAATATACAATATAAATACAACTATCTCACAAAGAGCAAAACCTTTGCTTCTGTTCTTCTTCCATGTTTTTTTTTTTTACTGTTTTTACTACAATGAATTTCATTGTGTTTTATGTATTTTAATTATATTATTATATATAATTATAACTATATATTAGAATATTGCCTAATCTGAAAGTTTATGCAGTGTTGCTAACTGTATCAAGCTTCCATCAAAACTGATGATTAAAAGAGAGTCAGTTGAAAATTAAATTTGTTTTTTATATCATAGATTCGCAATAAAATAAATAAATAAATTACTGTTTTTTTAAACAATTTATTATATTTATTAAATACATTTTATTCACAAAAGGATATTATACATTCTATTATTAAGCATAATATACTTTAGGTGGTGGTAAAAATGATCTGTCAGTAGTTTTAGCAGTTTTTGGTTTTGGAGCTGGTAATAATCTTAACCCTTCTTTTACTTTTGAAGCTGAAGCACTAGATTTAACTTGAGGTATATTTTTTGTATTTAAATTTGAAATATTCGATGCCTTTGATTTATTTGCTGATGAAAATTTATTTTTGGTTCTTATTCCTTTATTTTTTTCATTCTTAAACTTTTTTGCTGAATTTCCAGTATTTCTCCTGTTATATTTTCTCTTTGTTCCCCTTTTTTTGAATGCACCTTTACTGCTGCTAGCACAATTTAACCAACTATCTTCATCTGGACTATTTGGCAATTCAAACACATCTTTATGGATTTCTTGTTCAGCATCTAAAACAGCTCTGTCATATCCATATTTCTGAGTTACATTTAGAAACTGTGCTCCATATTTCTCATATATAATCTTAGTAACATGTGGTATATGTAGCATTTCATTTTCAGTCATAGGCATCTCTCTAGACATTTGTCTGAGAGCTTCTACATTAATGACATTTGTGTAATGAATTCCATTTTCTGCAGCAATTGATTTACTTACATCTATCAATTCTGCATAACAACGATTAGCTAATTGTTTAATTTCAGAATCATCATCAATCTCAACAATAGGTTGTACTGATAAAGAATGTCTAGATCCTTTTTTCAAAGTAAACTTTACTTTTACTTGCTTATTCAGAAGTTCTTGTGATCTACACCCTAATTTTACATATGAAACAGCATGCTCCATTTGAGTAATTACCAAATCTTCTTCCAGAAATCTATCTAGCACTAATTTTCTTAATAAACGTTCAGCATCAGCTCTTGCATAGGTTTGACCACGACCATGTAAAGCAAGTTTATTATGGCCTGCAGAAATTATTTTTGTATTATTTGAACCTTTAAAAATGTCAACAAAGTATGTTAATGTGTAGTTTTTTTTTCTTGATTCACCAACTAACTGTGCAATACATTGCACAATTGCTATAGCATCCTCTGTAACGTCACAAGTTTCATACGTGTCCTTGCATAAACAATTATCACATGCTGTTAAAGGATTTGATAAACAAAGATCTTTATTAAATATTTCTCCAAAATAATTTAACATCTGAACTCTTCTACAGTCTGTTTTGTTTTCACAAAAATTAATCATACGATATAAATTATCCAGATGAGTATTTTTAGCATGTTGATTTTCTGTATCTTTTATAATCATTCTTTTAATTCGATGAAAATCGTGATAGTTATAATATAAAATGCACCATGATCTTTCTCCATCTCTACCGGATCGTCCTGATTCTTGATAATATCCTTCAATTGACTTTGGTATGGAATGGTGTATGACAAATCGAACATCAGGTTTATCTATTCCCATTCCAAATGCAATGGTTGCACATATTACTTTACATTTATCATTAATCCACATCTCCTGAACATGATTACGATTTTCATTTTCTATACCAGCATGGTAAGATATAGCTTGAATTCCTGAATTAATTAAATCTGCTGCAACTTGATCACAATCATTTCTTGAAAGACAATATATAATGCCACTCATATCATTGAATTTTGTTTTTATGAGATTAATAATATCTTGAATACAGTTCTTTGCTTTTTTATGTACTACCTCATATTTGAGATTTGGTCTATTAAAACTTTGAAGAAACCATTTTGGTTGAGGCATATTTAACTGATGAAGAATATCAGTTCTAACACGAGGTGTAGCTGTTGCTGTAAGAGCCATAAATGGCACCCCAGGATATTTTTCACGAAGTATTTTTAATCGTTTATAATCAGGTCTAAAATCATGCCCCCACTGACTAACACAGTGCGCTTCATCAATGACAAACCTTGCAAGCAATTTCCTTTTGAATAAATTTTGAAAGACACTTGATAATTTATTACTGGCACTAATCTTTTCAGGTGTAACATAAAGAAGTTTTATACTGGGTTCCCTATTAAGCAATTGTTTATATATTGTATCTGATACATTACTTTCTCTATCCCCCGAAAGATGATTGGCAGGAATATCAAGAGTCCAAAGTTTTTGAACTTGATCCTGAATCAGAGAACGCAGAGGAGATATTACTACAGTGACTCCTTTTGTCATTAATGCTGGAAGTTGATAACACAAACTTTTTCCTCCACCAGTTGGCATAAGAACAAAACAATCTTCTCCTAATAAAGCAGCATTTATTGTTTCAAGTTGATTATGTCGAAATTTTTGTAAGCCAAAAACCTGTCTGAAAAATGACATCATTTCCTCAGAGTGAGGGAAATTTAACCCTTTATATTTATCAGATGCTCCATCATCTCTATGATTACGACAAAAATAACCTGCAACAAGCTTATTTCCAGATTCAAATTTTGAAATTTCTTTATTTTTTTGAGTTTCATAAAGAGCTGATGTATAATCTATTTCTTGTTTTTCAATTGTTTGTTTTACAGTAAAATCTTCTATTAAATATTCATCTAATTTTATATTTGTATCTTGTGTCTGAATATCTTCAATTGTTTGTATTTGTTCACTGCTATTAGAGTTTTTTTTATTTGAAAAAGATTTAGAAATATTTGGACTAGAAACATTACTTGTTATTACAGGACTTTGAATATCATTAAGTGATGAATTGTTTTCTCTGCTATCAGCAACTTTTAATTCTGAAGACTTGGTTTGATGTAAATTACTTTCTATTAAAGTACATGATGATGATGAGGAAGAAGACTTTATTTCAGTAACTTGCTGGAATAAATTATTATTATTATATTTTGAAGACAGTCGAGATGACAGAGAAGGTTTTTTATTGGATGTTATCTTAGATTTTGGTTCTAATTTCTTAATTTCGTTTAAAACTTGTGAACGCACTTCTAATAACTCTTTTAATCCTGCAACAGTTTTAACTGCAGCAGTATTTGTTTGAAACAAATCACAAATTTTGGTCATTATACTGTAATTTATTTCTTTTAAAGAATTAATAGATTGTGATGAAGTGTTTTCCTCAATAGGAGTTTTAGAAATAATTTCATCTTGAAATAATTGAGGATTATTATTTAGTTCATTCTTCTTAATGTTTTTTGTATTTGTTTCATGTAAAAAGTCACTTTCATCAAATGTTTCATATAGATTTTTTTCTAATGAGTCAAGAAAATCACTTTCAGATATATCTGATATTGTATTGATATCATTATTTGTTTGTAAAAATTCAATATTACTTTTAGCTACAAATTCTTTATCATCACCACAATCATTATCATCATCAAAAAGATTTTGTTCTTTTATACTTTCAAATGAATAATTGTGAATATCAGTGTCTTCATGATTATTATTTAAATTAGTGGATTTAATAGTGTTTCCAAATTCAGAATTTTGATTTACAAAATCAGATGCTTTTTCATTGAATTCATCATCATCCAGATTTATAGATTTCAATTCACATTTTACTGATTTTTCAATTTTTGAAAAATGTAAAGGATCCAAGTCATTAAAGTATTGTGTTGCTATAATTTCATCGTCATCATCTGGAAATATTTCAGAATAATCTGGTAATTGTGTCTCAGGTATACACACAGGATTATTAAAGCATTTATCATTAGAATTATTAGGTTGTATCGATATGTCAGGATCTTTAATAACTTTTTTATTTAAATCCTTATTAGCTAAATCTGTTTCTAACGATGTATCTTTATTATTATTATAACTATTCAAATTAGAACCGTCTGATTTATCAGTTTGATCAGAAATCTTATTCTTTTGTAAGGATATATCTTGTAGAAACTTCTTTTGAAAAGGTATTTCAAAATCATCCAAATCATCGAATGCATCACAGGAATTAGATTTATTTAAGGATATGTTTAAAGAAGAAATATGAGTGTCTTTTCGTTTCTTCTCTGCATATGTATTAACTGATTTCTTAACAAATGAAAGCATTGTTGACTGGTGCTTACTTGGATGTTTAGGTGTGCTGGTAAATCTTCCATCGTCTTCAACGAAATGTATTTCTGGAGCATTTTCTTTGGCATTGCCGAGGATTTTTGCAGGCTTTTTAAAGCTGTATTGCTTCTTTGATGTACTTTTCGGGATATTTACTTCGTTCTTTCTGTTTTCACTAAATCTAGACAACTGCTCTTTCAAATTATTATGAGGTAAGACGTCCATCTTACAGTCATTTCAATACAATAATTTAAATTTATTTCATTTTATCGTTACGATTCGAATTATACATAATAAAAGTCAAAAACAGGCAAATGACTTGACCAGAAAAATTCACATTTTATACTCACATGTTTGACAACTTTCATAATGGCGCCTTTTCTTCCGAACAGAATTATTTATTTTATATCGACCAATAGAAATGCTCGAAACTAATACCTTTGAGCCAATACAAACGACATAAGTATTATCTTATTAAAGTTTTTATATAAAAACGAATAATTTTGTTTTTATATTAAATCAAATGAATCATTTTTATAATAAATATTTTATTAAATATTTTTATAAGTAAATTCATAATAAATTTTCGAAATGGAGTTGGCAACATGTCCGTCGATCAGAGTTGTTGTCGTTATTGAAGTGTTGCTTTGTTGACTGTAAAACTAATTTGAATTATTTGAAAAGTTTACATTTGTAAATATACTGATATATTTTGCAAGTAGATTTAACTGATTATTAGTAAGTATGCTATGTTATTGCAAAAAATTTCATTATTAAATTTGTGAAAATGTAATTTTTGGTAAAAGTGGGAAGGTGAGTTTTCAGATGTGATTGACTTCACGAGGTATAGCCCCCAAAATCGCGCNTCTACGTTATTTAAAGGTAATTTTTATTATAGGCCTATAGACCTTACACAGCATTATTAATATGATTTTGGAGGTTACAGAACTTTAAAATTACTTTAAAAAATGGAAAATAATTATATCATTTGATTTCAAGATATTTTGTATACCTTAGAAATAATTAATTCTATCCCGGGATCTCGGGAAACAGTTCACTTTTATCCCGGGATCCCGGGACAAGCAAAAGACCGGGAAATGAGAAACCCTAGTTTTCAGATGTGATTGACTTCACGAGGTATAGCCCCCAAAATCGCGCTGCGCGTCGCTCAGCGAAGACTCGCTTTTAACTATGTAGCGCACGTGATTATACGTGTCATTTCCGATCACGTGACTCCGCTTCCGTAGTGTGTGGTTCATTAGACATCTTTGATTGCAAAGCGGGTCTACTGGTTGGGAGGTCTTCAACTCCCGCCCACGAATATCGAATCGTACCCTCTAAATATAACCCTTAGGGTGCCACTATGCAGACGCGAATTTAGAGTGAGTGAGAGCTTGTGAGCGATTTAGTTTTCGCAAAGGCAAACCATTCACAAATGCGAAGCGAGAAATAATGCTGGCGAGAGCGAATTTCTGGTTCTCGCACATATCTGACAGGTTTTGATATTTATCGCTTCTCGCCACATATTCTCACTCGCTCAGAAAATTCACTCTCTCGCGTCTGCATAGTCGCACCCTTAGGCTTCGACTATGCAGATGTGAGCAAGAATATGTGGCGAGAAGAGGCGAGACGCGATAAATATCAAAACCTGTCAGATATGTGCGAGAACCAGAAATTCGCTCCCGCTAGCATTATTTCTCACTTTTCGTTTGTGCATGTTTTTCCTTTGCGGAAACTAAATCGCTCGCAACCAACCTCTCGCTCGCTCTAAATTCGCGTCTACATAGTCGCACCCTTAGCAAGATATTCACGTTTTTCATGAACTATAGAGGGTGCTTCATTTTTACAAAATGTCTACTTTATTTGGGTTGCATGTAACTAGTAATGGAAAATTAATCACATATGGTGTTGCCACCTTTTCAAAATTGCTGACCTGGAAGGCGGGTCAGGTTTGTTCAAACAGAAGTTCCTGAAAATGTGCAAACTGCCTCAGAATTGACACACGTGCTCAGAACAAATGACTAGGCTGTGGTTATAGGCACAGTGATCAATGCCTATAACAAATAATTATTGCATTAACTTTTACTGACTGAAAACTGTTTTTATCTTGAACCAGTACTGCTGCCTATTCTCCATGCTCTGCGTTGTCAAGGTGAGCGATAGCAAGCACCTCAGCACCTGGGTGGGGCAAGCCCCTGCATCCCCCTAAAACTATATAGCATCGAGTATTCCTCAAAACCCACTTGAACAGTCAAGTGGGCTACTTGAAGCCAGCGTAGTTGCATGGGCTAAATAGTTAAATGTGATAATCTTAGTGGAGCACATGGCACAACTCACAATTATGTGTGGCTGGTTTCAGGGGGGCTATATCTTGCGAAGGGTCACATTTAGAGATATGATTCCTTTGACTTTTTTGCTCCTATGAACATGCTTTATAGCTCTGTTAAGGTCCAACAGTGTCATTCTGTACGATTGTACCGGAGGGGATATAATTTGCCATTGCATAAAAAATAATAATAATAATAAAATTTTGCATTATTGGCACTGCAAATGCCTTCTATGATGTACTTCTGGATCAATTAGCATAATTAGAAGTTCAGATCTAGTTTGAAATATAATTATTGGTAAAATATGTTTATTATTATTTAAATTCCATAATTTGCTGTCATAGTTTGATTATGTTAAAGACTAATATACTCATTTAATGGAGGATGAGATTTATGAAAGAGATCCTGAACTTCTAAGGGAGATCAACAATAGAGTAATCAATTTATCTTGCTCGTATGAAAGAAATTTAAAACGTACATACATTAAGAAGCTCAAATGGATATTCCGGTGCCGGAACATTAAGCCGCGCATAATAGAAGACACGTTTCTAACAACATGGGACTAATATAATTCCTACTATTGTTATTTCAATTATTTATATAGAAATTTAAATAATTAATGATAGATATATACTGTATATAATAAATTAAAAGTGAAAAAAGCTGTCCATAAATGACATCCACAATGGAAGGGGAGAGGGGAGGGTTGAGCTTCAGTGGACGTTTGTTTATTTCATTAAATTTTATACAGTTTATGCATCTTATTACATTTATTTTTGGATTTCTTGTTTGTTTCTTATCTAGTTATGGAATCTATCATTGATAAAGTCATGAAGGGATCGAGTTTTATTAGAAATTCAATGAGGGGAAAGGTTATGGAAATTTGGACAAAATGGAACAAGAGAAGGGAGTAAAAATTTCAAGAAAAATGCAGATATAATTTATGGACAGTCCCAAACTTAAATGGGCAAGCATATTTATAGTTTGCCCATTTAAATTTGGGTTGTTGCAAATGCAATTTCAAAATTGAAATTGGATAGTTTGTTTTAAGTATATATTCCTAAAATGAATATTTCATATAATATACTTTATTAATGTAATTTGTATTGGATAAAATTTTTGAAATAACTGTTAATAATTTTAAAAATAAAGGTTTTTGCCATGTTTATTTCAGAAAAATTAATCTGTTCAATTCCTGAAAGAATAATAATAAATATATACAAAACAGTGTTTGATTTTGTTATGTTAAGGATATATACTGTAATTTTTTTCTGTTTTCATTCTTTAATGTAAAAATTAATTGAAAAAAGAATTACATGTCAAATTTTCATTATATGATTATTTAATATTTTTAAAAATTTATTTTTCTTTTAGAATCTTGGTTAATAAATGTCGTCTACAAGTGAGAATAATGACATTTTGAAGGATTTGCTTTGTGCAGAAGATGACATTGAAAATTGTAATAGTTGGAAGGAATTTTCAAAAAGAGTTGCTTCTTTTTTAATTGTAGAATCAAATGTATCCTTTAAATAAGCTTACAAGTAGTATAAGATTGACAGCCTCTGGGATAATTTTGTAAAAGTTTAACAGTTCATAACTTTTATTCCAGAGTCTGTCACAATTTTGAGGAAAAAGACATCAAGCAGTAAAAATGCGATTGGTACTGGGTTAATTCCAAATTCACTCGATGGTTTCTGGGATATTTTCTATTCCAGAATCTCACGTACCCAAAACCACATTTGATTGCACTTTTGATGCCCCTTCGGATATACTTTTCTGCATGATTTGAGCGAGAGTTTCTGGGATAAGGACTTAG